TTTGGAATTTGGGCTTTTTTGCTATATTAAAATGGAATAGCATAGTCCTAGGCCCCTAACATATTAGTAAAACATGTAATATATTTTTAACTGGAGAAAAATATGTTGTACTATATGGGGTAATGCACCATACCATCTGTACCCTCCTTTTCAAAATGCCAGGTCCAGCCCTGGTTAAAAAAAAAAAGCACGTAAAAAAAAAAAAAATCACCCTCTTAACGTATTGCTACCTTAGTTATCAGTGTCACTTTCAGTAGCAGAGTCTGGATTCAGATCATCTCTCTGATAAACCGAAGAAGTTTTCTGCAAAATTCTTACTATGGAATACTAAGTTGTTATCAGCAACTAGCTGAGAAGGAAAACCAGAGGCTAGGAGTACAAAAACACATGGAAATGTGTAGCTCTTAGAAAGGTGAACTGTCCCTGCAAATCTCTGTGTTCTTTCATCTTTAGTTTCAGGGAAATAGCTTTGCTCATTTAAAGTACACTTGCTATTCTACTTCGGAACTAGATGTACATAATTTCTGCATGCTTTCATCAATGGTTCCAACCCCAAGCACTAGAAAGAATCATGGGTCAAAAGCCAGTTATGGGATTAATTTAAAATTATGAGATGTAAAAATAGATATAATAGTTAGGCTCTTTTTCTTGCTCTTCTGAGACTTTAGGATGCACTTGCTTTATGTTTTCAATTTCTTCCCTGCAATTATCAAGGCTAGAAATTTACTTTATATAAAGAAAGCTGAGATTCTCCTGCAAACTTTTTAGGAAAGGAGTCAGGGCTTTAAGAAATAAATTTGTGAATAATGCAGAGGCAGTTGTGTATGCAAACGATTTACTGGATACTTCCATTTTGATCTTTGCATAGTTTTCCTGTGCTTACACATGCCTGTGTGGTAATTGTGAAAGCAAATTCAGCAGTTGCATTTTGACACATGCAGTCCTAGAAACATGTCCTTTACCTGCTTGTGATAATGGATCAAGAGTTTCAGAATGGCAAACTTTGCTTCAAAATACAAGAAATAAAGCCCAAGTGAGATGACTAATCTTGTCCCCTTTTTCTTTGCAGTTTAAACTGTCCCCTTCTCAGTGTGCTTAAAACTCACTTTCAGGGTGTTTAGTCAAGGAGCATTTGACAGGCTCCAGTAGTGGACAGGAAACATGGGGGATTAGTGGGGAAAGGTCAAACAAACAAAATCAATCACTATTAACAACAGTCTTATTAATGAGAAGTTTGTTGCAAATTTTACTATACTGGAAGAAAGTAGAGACCTATTGAGCAATATTTCCCTATTTGCAACAAAGATGCTTTTGTTGGTTTACTAAGCTTAATATGAAGCCCCAGTAAAATAATGCCAGCATTATCTTCAACTTGCAATGACCACTGGAAAATAATGAATTCTGTGAACCTCTGGTGGAAAGTTTACTGGATTAAGAAGCATTTTAATCTTTTTAAACCCTTACAATTAACTCCAACTTAAAGTGGCTTTGTTTATTTGTATCTAACCAGCTCCCTAATATTCTAGTTGGGGGCAGGGGGTGTTCCTATAACCATTAACCCCTAAAACTGGCACCTTTTAATATTAAGGGTGCTTTCTTGCTAGGAACTGGAGGCTTGATCCTGCCAGTTAGTAAGTCTGTCCCACCAAATGCCAGCTACCTTCAGTTCTTACTGTTTTCATCTAGGACAGAAGTGTAGTTGACTTTTCCTGCGAGGGGCTCAGTAACTCATGGCCCAGGCCCCATAAATACTGAAGTGTATGTATAAGTGTAACCGCTCATGGGTGGAGTTTACTTGACTTCAGCATGATTACTTGCATGCATAAAATGGATTAGTGTTGCAAAATTGGGGTTTAACAACATTTCTGGTATATTCATGCTTAACACAGTAACAATGCTAAGTAATGCTGATGCAGCAAGAGGACACAGCAAATATGGTTTTTAGTCGAAACATGGGTAATCCTGGGTCTGTCCTTTATAGGATCTGAAGACGATGGGAGTTTGCTACTACAGTGAAAGACCCTTTAGGATCCTATTTTCCAAGAATGGAAACCCAGTTGTGTGGGAAAAGGCAAAAGTAATTGCTAGTCTGTGTTTGCCCAGAATCAAGTTATTTTGCTAACTAAATAGGACCACGTAACAGGCCATTTAAACACCTGTACACATATTTGACTATATAGATACACTGCCCTGTAATTGTGACGTGGAAATTGATGCGATTATACACAGGATTATGTCAAGTATGTGGTCTTTGCAATTGCTGAATATTATGATTTACTGCCCAGCAGTCCAAGACTTCTTTGGCAAAAATGATTTCTTTTGGGGCATGCCAAAAACCTGACTCAGAATTACTAAAAGACTCTCTCAGGCTTGTTAATCTTTTTGTAGACTTAAACTGCATCAAGATGCAAACCTGCATTAGTCAATGACTGTAGGAGAAGCTATAGGAAACTTAGTAGTTTAAGTTAAATCAGGCACACATTGTTATAAACCAATCTTGCTTTGAGATTTTCAGTCCTCAAAATTCAAAGCAAAGTATAGGTGCTACCTTACTTGAAGGGAAACCTAGGGGTAGCTTGTCTAAACCCTACTAATGTCACTTGTTTTTACACAGCCATAATGTGCTACCTATTCTTACTGCCCCATCAGTTGAAGATAGAACACTGAGGTGAGTACCTCCTTCACACTGGAATGGATAACTAAAGACAGCAGAGAAGGACAGCTTATTTTTCATTTGATGCATGCACTTTTGGCAATGAGCAAGTGACAGGGAATTTATTTTGAGCCTATCTATGCTTTGAGAGAGTGTTCCTTCAGCTCATTGGGTTTCTACTTATTCTGTGTCCACTGAAGTCTACAGAAGTTTTTCTAACAACTTTAACAGACATTTGACCAGTCCCTTAGTTAATAAATCTTGATATATCAGCCACTGGAAATGTTGGCTAAGTGATGTAGTTAGCATATAGATTAGACCTGTATATTGGAAAACATTGCGTTTCAGAGGGGTTTGCTCCCCTAGTTTCAGAGCGGTTCTTTTACTCCTCTAGTTTAAAAAAAGTTTAGCAATTGGAAAAATTAAAAACCTGTTAGACAGGGGCTGTGCAATTTTCCCACATCTCTCTTCCAGTCTTCTTCAAGCCTTCTGATTGATCCTGCAAAATTTTGTGTAGCCTAAACCTAAAAAGGAGTCAGTGCAACTTGGTACTTGTTGCAGGGCCTGCTAGCACCTACAAAAAGGGCTCAACGTGTAACTATTTGATCAGCCATCACCCATCTACATTGCCAATTACACTCTTAGCAAAGCCTTGTTTTATAGATGCTGCTGCTATCATTCTTTTACTTGTGGCTGGGATGTTTTTTAGCCCTGGTGGCCTCACTACGGTCCAGTTGAGGTCAGCACATTCCGACTCTAAATAGTTCTCCATCTGGTACATGTTAGTAAGCACACTTCTAATGAGTGGCAGGAGGAAAAAAAAAAACGCACTAGCACCAGAGCATTCTGGCCTGATTCAGCTGTGAGAGAAGAGACAGGTTAGTAGCAAGCAGGACAGGCATGGTCATTGAATCCAAGCATACATTATGCTTCTCTGCTAACAAGAGAATTCTAGTCTGGTGTCTGACCCCATACGACATGTCTGCCACTGCTTGTTGGGCTTTGCTTTTAACTCAGAAACTAACACAGTATGATTTTACTTACAAACAGCACAAAAGTCAGGATTTAAATAATGTATTTAAGAGAAAATATCCTTTAATCAAACCTCTGCTTAATTAGGGCATTTGGTAGTTAATAAAAACTGGGAGGACCTAAAACCTACCTGCCAACTTTTTTTTTTTCCTAATTTACTTGCAATTAAGGATTTTATCATTGAACATGTTAGTTGCCACTGTGTCTTCCTAACCCAGTTTTTGCCTTTGTGACAGGGTTTTTGGTCCTTCTGTCACCCTTACTTCCTTTTGATTATTTTTTCTCTTGAAGGTTATAATTTTCTGTCAATTTTGTTTCTTTTTATCTTTTCTTTCACTTGCTCTTCTTAGTGTTTTCTTTAAACTTCTTTATCATTCTTGCCTGATGCTCTTTCTGCCTCATATTTATTGGTGCAGCCATAAATAGAAGTGTTTCATGGTAACCAGCTAGTCACTGAACCTGCTGGTTAAATTTTAAGGGAAGGCTCCAAAGGAGGTCCTTAGCCAGAAATATAATCAATATAAGGAGGTGCTCATAAGGGACAGGAAAACAAACAGATCCCTTTATTTCCCCAAGTGGAGGAAGGGGAAGTCACCTCAATGAGGTGATTTATAGCGCACATACACAATGAATTCTGGAAATTGTTTGTTAATTGATAACCTGATTGAAGGGTCACATGATGATTTGGGGGCAGGGGGAGGGTTTGGTGCATTTACAAAAATTTGAACCAGAAAGTTGGAGGCACTACTTTCAGTGGGACATAAAATTATTACATGCTCATCAGTGCAACTTTATGGTGATAGCAATATTATGTGGTGATAGATGTCACAAATACATTGATCCTCTAATGCATCCCCATCTCGCTTTCTTTTAATAAGTTGATGTAGATCAGTCTATGTATTGGAGAAAAATAGCAGCAGAGAGCGCTACTAAAGACACTATTCCATGCTTTATGCAAGACCCAGATCAACTGCAAGATATGGGGAGTTTTAATGGGTTTTGCTTAGAAATGGGTAGGGGAAAAGATTTTTTCAAAGGTGTTTAAAGCCCATTGGCTTTCAGTGGAGTAGGTTTAATCACTTAGGTACTTTTAAGAATTTTGCCCATGCTTAAGTTTTATTCTTAAAACTGCTGATTCTTTTCTTTCATAGAGAGACTCTTAATTCTCAGCTCAAGGCTCCATGGAGTTAAAAACACCATAATTCCATTTATGTAATGGACAGAGGGAAACCCCTCTCCCATCATTTTTATGGCCTTGACTCTGAAATCAACACTGACAAGTATTCACTTGAATAATCAGGTGGTAACTGTACTCATGGGACGTGTACCATGATGTCATGGCTATTATACAGCTCACAGATTGCCTCATGGCAGCCACAAGAGCTCTCATAGAATCAGTGTATCCTGAAGTGGCTGAGAAGATCTTGTAAGGGAAGCCTAAGCAGGAAATTACAGCATCTTGGCCTTGCAAATGTTCTGACAACTGTTCTGCCGAGAAGATGTTTGTTTCCACCACCTAAAAGAATTTAATAAATGTTGGAATATTTGCAACACTTGCCTCACTGTCACAGAGTGGGGCCTAGGGGCGGCCGTGATCCCGCTAGCGCCCCCTGCCGTGCCAATTAGGAGATCCTGCACCCTCTTATTCTTGCCCGCCACGTCTTTGATCTTATATAATTTTTAATATGGGAGGCTGCCTTTGATCTCCCAGTATCTATGGGTGACTTGGTGCACCCCCAGCCTTGTGGGCTATGCGTGCCTCCTACCTCCCCTTTAGCACGCCCCAAGCCTCGTAGCAGTCCTGGACGTTCTTATGTCTATAAGACCTCAGATGGTCCCTTGCCCTCTCCGGGCTCGTCCTGCCCTCTCTGGGCCCTGTCTCACACACCCTGCCCTCTCCGGGCTCGTACCCGCACGATCGCCCTTCTTCGGACTATTAATGGCGCCAGCCCTGTCCCGGGCCTTCACCGGCACACGCGTCCCACTTCAGCTTCACACTGGCCCCTGCCCTTCTCAGGGCTCCCGGGTATACTCGCCCTTCCACGGGCGTTACCCACACTTCCCGTACTTGCGTCGCCCTGCTGTGGGCTCTGTCCCGCACCCCTGGCGCTATCACCCTGCTGTGGGCTTGGCCCTCTCCGGGCCTGTACGCCAGCCCTGTCTCACACACCCTGCCCTCTCCGGGCTCATACCCGCACGATTGCCCTTCTACGGACTATTAATGGCGTCAGCCCTGTCCCGGGCCTTCACCGGCGCCTGCCCTACTTCGGCTTCACACTGGCCCCTGCCCTTCTCGGGCTCCCTGGTGTACTCGCCTTTCTATGGGCGTTACCCGTGCTTGCGCCCGTGGCTCTCACCGAGCCTGTCCTGCGCTCCTCACGCCCGTGGCTCTCACCGAGCCTGCACGCCAGCCCTGTCTCAGGCCTTCACCAGCGCCGGGGCTCAGGTGGCATATAGCTGTGCCTGGCCCCCTTGACCCCTCACCAGGGTCCTATGCCCTCACTGGGCTATCACCCTCTCCGGACTGGGGTCTCAACCCCACCAACGCAGTGCTTCCAGCACCCAAGCTGCCGTGCCTCCCAGGCACTGCTCTTTCCCCCAAACAGGGCACCCAGGAACGCCCAGACTACTGGGTAGCTCCCGTGAGGCCTCCTCACACCCCTACAGCCTCACCCGGTCCTCCGGTTATATACACAATAGACCTATAAGCCTACCGGCTATAACAAAGTCCAGACCCACCTGGCTCTCTCGCCAAAGCCTCCCGGTCAGGCTTCTGTTCACCCTTACCATCATGCAGCCCTCTGGGTGCTCAGGCTGCACTGCTCGGCTTAGCTCTCCTGCAGAGCTCCTACACCTCAGACTGCCAGAAGGGAACTGCTAGCCAGGCTCCAGCCTGGCTGTTTATAAGGGCCCGGCCCTGCCCCCTTCTGGTCACCTGACCAACCTGGTTGCTCCAGCAACCCGCACCTAAGTTGCCCTGGCAATTAGCAGAGGCCCTAATCCCTACTTAGGCACGGGGCACCCAAGTGCCCCCGTGACACTCACCACCACCATTTTTTTCTCCTCTTTGGGCATGTCTATATGTTGCCATGCTTTAGTACTTCCTTTTGGAAGTACTAAAGTACAGCGCAACGTGGGTGGTTACTGCGCTGTGCATGCAGTGTATGGTTAGATTTTGCCGCTGCATTGCCATAGCACTGCATGATAACCGGGGAGTGTGCCACTACAGTGACATAGCTGGCAATCATGTGTAGACCCACATTATCACTACATCACCGTAGCATGCCATACAGTCACATAGCGCATTGCTACGTTGTCGTAGGGTGACATGTAGACGGGCCCTTTTATCACTCTGTTTCCAAATAAGAATCAACTAGGAACACTGAAGTAGAAGTGCTCTGAATGCACTCTCTCATAGAGAGTTATGTTTTTGAAGGTGAGGCTTGGCAAATAGGAAGAAGGCAAAACCTCAGTAGATTGATTATTTTTAACTGCTTATGGGATGTGTAATAAAGTGATATTTCCAGAACTCCCCCTTCTCCTTTTGTGATTTAGCATTAACATAACACCATACTTCATTTTTAGGTTGAAAATGTGATTTCTGTTGATGAAAGCCAGTGATCATCGCTTGCTGGAATTCGCCATCCAGCGTAGGGTGTCAAGGGCCCGCAGCAAGGCGGTAGCCCTAGACTTCAGGAGGGCCAACTTCGTTGAGATGAGGAGATTAGTGGGAGAGGCACTGGGGTCCTTGAGGGCAGAGGAACTCAGTGTCCAGGACGAGTGGTCGTTCCTTAAGGAAACGATACTCACGGCCCAAGGGGTGTCCATCC